GTGAATATAAAATACTGACTTGTTAACGATTTTTTGGTCAAATCAGAAAAGAATTAAGGATATAGTATACACAATATGGCAGAAATTTTCCGGAAGTGTCATTTCATGGAAAACATACTTAGTACTAAATTCGAAGTTACTAAATGTAACTGAAAATTCATAGGAAATGAGTAACGTTTTGTTTAAACTTCCCGTGAAGTATTTTCCTCTCGTTCGGAACACCCAAATTGTCTCTTGATCATTTCTTTTAAATGCGGGACCTCAAAGCAGGAAACGACTCCTTTTAAAGAAGTTGCCGTTAATCCCACAACCATCGCTATAAAGTGAAGCGGGATATTACCTAAATAAAACACGACCCCACTGTTCAGAGCCTGGGCCATTGCCACGCACGTATACGGCGCCCAACAAATGGTGTGAATTATGAGAATGCAGAAGTATGCTTTTTGAGTGGTTTTCTCGCCTCCTCGGAGTGCGAATCTCTCGCATTGCTTTATCATAGATTCGTTCCTCTTAAAGCGTTCTGGTTGGAAGAGAAAAATGTCGTAAACGTGAGAGTAGAATGCAGCACTAAGTGGTAATAGCAGGCAAAAAGCCAGTACCGCTGTAGTGTACCACAAATTGCTGATTAAATCGGGAAGACACAGGACTTCTGGAGAAATTGGCCATGTGAAATGAGGTGGAATACAAATAGTCACTGCAAACAGCCATACAATCAAAATCATCATTCTGGTTCTAGAATCGCTGAAGGTTCTTGGATACGCTTTCCTGTCAACAATTGAGCAGTGCCTACTAGCCGCGATAAGTGTCAGGAACATTACTGGTGCCACTAACTCCATCAAACTTACGGTTGCGCTTATTTTGCAGTAGATATCCCCCACGAAATCAACCTGACTGTGAATCGCGGAAAGAATCCAAAACGGAATCACCACTAACGTCGTCAATAAATCCACCAGACTGGCATGTAACGTGAACAAGTCGTAATTCTTTCGCTGTGAGTTCTTACAAATTGTACCGACAATTAGCAAATTAGTTGTAGTAGAGGTTACACCGATAATTGTAAGAATAGTCAAAAATGGAATCGACTCCTCAAGGCTCAGATAAAGCGGCCCAGTTGATTTCACGGTCGCCATTTCGGCGATTTGAGCTGCCTTTTTAGCTTTGGCTTCGTAACTCGTTTAAAATGTAGCAAACAGTAATTTGCACGTAGCTTTGAACTCTCTTTTACGCCATCTAACCAATTAACAGGTGATACATGCATTAGCGGCAGGTGTACTTATTTCATGGCAGGTTAATACTGCTCCTTATTGGTTCTGCGGATTGATTGCTATGGCTACACAGCGTGTAACTGGAACGAAGAGTCTCATTCTCCCATCTCCTATTGCGCGAAGCTTGTTTACGCCAAAAAATAACCTCTTACTTTGCTATGATTTCTATACTCTGTTTCACGAGTTGATATTTAATGGAACAAATTCATTGTCGAGCCTGCATCAGTGTACAGTAATACAATATTTCCTTACGCATCTGTAAGTCGAAAAACAATGCGATCAAGTATTTGTCTGCATATTGCATGAATGCAATTCTTAATTCCACAATGACAAGAAACGTTACCTAGTTTCGAAGTAATTCGAATTAATTAAGTTTCTATTTCGTCATTTTTTTTTCAAAAACTATAAAGAAGGCGAATCTACCTCCCACCAATTGTCCAATAGCGGGTACGACTATGAATATTTTTCACTCTATCTTTTGAATCTCCGCCTGGTTTCTAACTAGGCAAGAAACAGCGCAACTTGATTTGTTCTGTAGGAGGGCTTTAGAGCGTAGATACAGTTATCGTTGTAGTTATTCAAGACACTGTAAGACCTGAAAGCTATTAATGACCAAACTGGTTTTTTTCTTTCCATTTTTAGCGTTAGGTCTAACTTGTTTCTAAACGCAGTGGATTGGACACACAATACGTCTCTTGAGCTTTGTGAAATCGCTATCAACACCTTCTGTTGCATAAAAAATCGCAGAGTCTTCATAGCAAACATCTTGGAAATGTAAACTATAACATAAGTAAAAAAGTTAGTCATTCAGACTTGACGCGTGAAATTTGTAGGGAAATAGACATGTCTAAAATAGAACGCTTAAGACTGAGATACATAAATATCTCTATGATAGCATTCATAAAATTTCAGGGCGGTCAGGAAAAACGGCGGCGAAAGCTTTTCAAGAACGGGCGAGAGAGCTCCTGGGATGCTACTCTTAACCAAGGAGTTCCACGACTCATTCGAATGCTTGCCTATAGTCCCATTTACACTACAGAAAAAACCGGGCCCGGACCCATTAAAAAGTGGTCCGGACCAATTTTTTTTGTCCGTTTACACGTTTAACAATCAGGTTTGGCTTATGATTGAAAAGTGCAATGATACACATGCGCGAAACCACCGTAAAGCAAGGCAGGCTCACATGAAGAAGATGGTACGAAACGAAGGTGCGTTTACACAGCGCTTTCGAACAGCAAAAGGGGTCCGGACTAGTTTTTTTTTTTTTTCGGTTTTGGGGCCATAGCCGCCTATGGCCCCAAAACCAAGGTAAGGTTTACACGGAAAAAATAACTTGTTCGTACCAACTTTTTTATGGGTCCGGACCCATTTTTTTCTGTAGTGTAAATGGGGCTTATGATTGGGCACAAAAATATCGGAGGCCAGCGTCTTTCGCGCTGCTTTCATGATCTTTTTATACGAAGAAACTTATAACCGGTACCTGTTTGGCTCGTGCAGGATAGCTTTCATCGATAAGAGTTTTTCTAGCGAAAATGGGGCCCACTGCACAAGACCAAAGAAATTCTATAATTTATTACGCATGCAGCAATTTCATACTATTTCACATAAATAGTTGATATAAATAGAGTGGAAGCATGCATGCATAATAAATGTTTAGGGTTATACGGAAATTGTACCCCATAATTTAGCACGTTAGCAAAACGAAACGAAAAATGCACCATTTTTAAAGAAACCAGACTGTGTACTGATCGAAGGTAAATTGGTAAACAACAAAGCATTTCTAGGCTTGTTCATGCAAAATCGTCTGCGTGGTTCTTTACGCCTACTCGGATGCCTAAGGAATGTCCCAGGAGGAAGTAGATCACCTTTTTAACGCAATAGTTTTACAAATTTTTCTTACTCTCTGCCGGTTTATGGTAACTCAGATTCCGACCTTTGTGTAATACAGAATTTTTTAGACCGGTGTATGAAAAGAAAGTTTATGTCCAAGAATGTAAATATCAGGGACTTGCTAGAGAAGGCGGACAAGACACTCTACAAAAAAAGATCGAATGACCCCGAATGTCCGTTCTTCCAGTTTTTACCTAAGGAAAAGAACACGAGGTACAATCTTAGAAATACGTCAGTCTCTGTCCCTAGAATCTACACTGACAGGTTTAAGAACGTTTTTAGTAACAGAATAATTTTTAGATATGATATGTAAATAGTTTTTTGAGTTTATATTGTAACTTAGGATATGTAATTTTATCTTAAGGAATAAAGATTATTATTATTATTATTATTATTATTACTCGGCACTACAGCTGTCTCTCGCCAGGAGGGACGTCTGCGGCTCAGTGACAAAAATTTGCCTTATGCGTGATTACGTCGTAGAAGCAAATTTCACCACCGTGCCTCGTGTGAAAGAAAAATTCTTCGCAATTGCACTTGATGTGCTGGGTTTATTCTATTCACCGCTACTTCCTTAATGGGAATTTATTTATCCAGAACTTCGCAATTTGACGATTGTGGCTTGGTGGTGAAATTTGCTCGTCTGACGTAATCATGCATAAGGGCCATTCTCTACTTATGACGTAAAATCTGTCCGGAATCTGGTCAGGAGCTCTGATCAGTCGACGTAGTAGTTATATTGTTTTAGCTATTAATTATGAATGACAGGCAAACGGTCACAAACGTCAAATGTTAACGCGATGAATTTACTACAAAACAGTCAATATTCGTGGAATATATTCATTTCTTTAGAAGAAACATTTGAGTTTTGCTGGTGCTCATTCGCAGAAGAACACAAAACTTTATCGTAATCGACCAGGAGACACATAAGAATCAAACAAATTTTTGTCGCTAGCGTCCCTAGCGGCGAGTAGTGAGGAGAGACGGCTGTTTTCGCAGGTTACAAAATGCTAATGTGGCCCGGGTTCGAATCCTGGCGTCGACGCCATTTGTGGGTTGAGTTTGTTGTTGGTTCTCTCCTTTCTCCATTTTTCTCCGGGTACTCCGGTTTTCCCCTGTCCTAAAAAACTAACACTTCCAAATTCCAATTCGATCTGGAACACACGGACGCGTTTCAACGAGTTCTTAAGAACTCCTAAGTGCTCCGTGGGTAAACAAATTGCAATTACAATTGCAAACTCGTTCCCAGAGTTCTCTCTAACTTGTCCCACCCTTCGCAAGGACGAGTAAGAGAGAACCCTGAGAACTAGGTGGACAACCCAGTAGAATGTGAAGTACAGTCGAATCCCGATAACTCGAACCTTCAAGGGAAATAGAAAACAGTTCGAGTTATCGAGGGTAAAATTATATAGCAAATGTTCTGAAGGGAAATGAAAATTGCTTCGAGTTAGCGGGAGGTTCGAGTTATAGAGGGTTCGAGTTACCGGGAGTCGACTGTACTTTTAAAAAGAATACGTTTATTCTTTGACATAGGTGAAGAAGTGATGTTCAATCTATTTCGAAATGCTATACATGTCTAAGGAACGCAATGAAATGAAAGACCGTTAAACTAGAAAGAAAATTACAGTGACGATTTTCTTACAAGTTGTAGTATCTTTATGATATGTTAAGTTTTTTTGTCTGATACGGCCAATTGTAATTATTAGTAAAGGTGCTAGCCTTCAAACGCAACACAGTGGAGGTAGCTAATTTTGATGTCCCTTAAGTGTGTAGCATTGACTATCTTATTGTTTTCGATTAAAAGATGATCTTGTTTTTAAGAATTATTTTAGATCTCTTTCCCACTCAGCTGCTCAGAGAGAAAACATTTATCATTGCTACCAAGAGAGAAAAGAGTCCACAAATGCTTGAATGCTGCAGAGAGGGTGCAGCAGCCTCTGTCGGAATAGGTTGCTGAGCTGGAATCACGGTATACTTCTCAGGACTAACGCCCGACCTCGAATGTTTTTGAAAATTGCTGATATCGGTGACGTCTCCGGTGTGATAGGCCCAAACGAAATAAAATTGGCCACCAGGCTGCAATTTAATTTAAACACAAAAGTATTTAAAAATAGCTAAGTTATTCAGAGTAAAGAGAGTCTTGGTTTGGCATCATTTACTATTCGTTCTTGGCGGGTTAGTGCAAATGAGAAAGACTTCCAGCCAAACAGTTGTCGCGAGTTCATCATGTAACGAAACCGCTTGGAAACTGAATGGATTGTAAGAAATTTAACTCGTTATGCCGCCGGGGAGCCGCCGGGAATGTTCCTTGTTTGAAATAAATAACGAGAAAGAAACAGAAAGAGCTGGAGATTTCACCCTTACTATAAGGGCAGAAATTAGTAATTTTACAGTGGCTTATATGTGCTTTATGGTTATTGCTTAGTTGTTACGTTTCTTTTTAGGAATTTACCATGACGATTTTCTTCAAAACTAACTCGACCCCAGGCTTTGCTATGGCAAGGAAAACAGGGAGCGGCACAGGGTTTCACCTTGGGAAATTCATTTTTCCCCTAATAGACAAAACACTGGTCTCCTAGCAACAAGTACGGAGACTTAGGGACGAGGCAACAAATTCTATGCAAAGTTAACCTGAGAGCAAGCTCTCTGGGGCGCTCTCCTTTTTCGTGCCGCCGCCAGAGCGCTGATCCCGGAGAGCTTGCTCGCAGGCTAAAGCAAAGTTTTCCTCTTTTCGCTTTTGCAAGGGGTGAGGGGATGGGAGCAGGGAAATTAAAACTGTGTCTATCCACTAGTGACCAGGCCCCGGTTCCTGGAAAGCCGATTTAAGTATCCTTCGATTAGCGTTTAATCCACGTTTAAATTTCTTAAAAAGAGGTTAAAAAGGGGTTCCTGGCCCCAGTTCCTGGAAAGCCGATTATACAATCCTCCGATCAGCGGTTAATCCTGGATTAACACTAATCGGGGCTTTCCAGGAATAGGGGCCAGGATATATCATGATAATCGTGGGGTCCAGTTGTTCGAAGGCCGACATTAGCGCTAATACGGGGTTCAATTTTAACCCGGGTTTCTTTATCTTTTGTTCAAAAGTTTTTTTTTCTCTATTGTTTTTATACCATTCAATCATCAAATTGTAGACAAATAGAATTAAACTGAATTAGCCGTTTTCTCTTTCATATTTGAATTAAAACATTTTGCACTTACCCTGGGTTATCTTGACCCAGGTTTGAACAACCCGGAATCAAGAGAATATGATTTTGCATTTACTCTTACTTTCGTCAAATTCCCCTCGGTAAATGATAAATAAGAGGAGGAAGGCTTTGATTTTTTTAAACTTTCCGGCTCTAAGAGGCAGGGGCACCCAACGATAATATAGTTCAAAACCACTTAAACATAGCATTGTTAAACGTGTTTTAGTATTTAAACGGTCGATATGGGCATATTTTTATCCCCTATAAATATTTCATCTGTTCGGATTTCCTAGCTGAAAGTCTAGTGATCCGAAAATTATAGGGATCAAAACTTACCTGTTCGAATATTTCAGCCAGAAAAAAGGCTCCCGAAAATTCTAGGTGACCTTTTTAGGGTAAAAATCCGTTGAAAATGGGCGATTTTACCATTTTTTAGATGTTCGAATCTTTTTCAAAAAAGACATAATTTTCTACGCGTCTTGCCATCCCAAAGTTATTAATCACGATTACTACAGAAAAGGTGAGCTACTTACCATAAAAGTGAGATCGTTGTCGTTATCACCTGTATCACGTCGTCTTTCAAACATCAGTTCGGTGTATCCACCAACTTCAGATGCATTGAGGAGTTGGTAATCCTGGCTAGCGTCAGGGGGTGGCCGTCTTTGCCCGCTTGTAAAGGAATCCTGAAAAATTTACAGTTGCCTTAGCTTAGATATATATCTAAGGCAAGTTTTTTGTTATGTGTATCTTTTTTCCGGCTAAGACTTGAGGTTGGTTATTTGGACGATTGTTTCTCTTCAGCCTCAACTAGGCTGTCCTTGGCTCTCAGATATTAGGGACGTCGCGAAATCAAAGAAACATTGCTTATACAAGAACTGAAGTCAGCTTTCAGTGTAAACGTCAGTAGCGAGAAGCTGATGCTTCGTTAATTAGCTGTTTCTTTTTAAGATTGACTTTTAATCTTTGTGCTTAATCTCCGTCGCAGTCCCTTTCCGCTATTATTTAAGTATAGTTTTCAAAATTGTGACGGTAATTTTGAAAATGTATGTTGAGTAGCATACGAAACGTCAAGTTTATAAAAATGAGTAAGTTGAATATGTTTTTCAGCGCTGTTTGTGTTCTTTTTCTTAACAAGATCAAGGGGATCTTAAGGTTCAAACCTATAGCAAGCAGTTTAGCACATTGCGCACAGACATAAGCACATATCGACATTCCATTCCTAGCAGTTTGCAGGGTGAACTGAAATATGTGAAAATGATTATACGTTTCTGGGAAACTCCCCACCTACCCCTCCACTAAGCCAACATTAACACTTACTTCTCACTTAGAGCAAAATTTTGGCTTAGGGGAGGGGTAGGTGGGCAGTTTCCTTGAAACGTATAATGATTCAAAATGAATTATATCTTGAACTACCGACAAAGATGAAAGTGAACATGATTCTCACAGTTGAATGGACAACCTAAGCGGTTGAAAAGAAAAACTGACAAATTTCAGGCTTGACGGTGAATCGAACTATGACCTTTGGGATGACCGGACGCAATGCTCCATCGATTGAGCTTGATTTCATAGCATGCAGGACGTTTGTCACAAGAACCTAGTTATTTCCCTGCGGTATCTCATCTTAAAAAGTAAGATAAATAAATATTAATATAACTATAACTTATTAATAACTTTATGAAGCTAATTGGTATTTTGTGTGCATGACTCTGTAATTAATAGAGAAGAAATGAATATGTTTGTATATACGTCTTCTTCCCGTGAGAGCGGTGTCGAATCTCCGGTAGCTCATGAGTGGTAAAGCAACTAGACTAGTAACCAGAAGGTCATAGGTTGGACTCCTGATGCATAGTGGCCTTAGCCCCTTCGAATCTCCGGTAGCTCATGAGTGGTAAAGCAACTAGACTAGTAAGCAGAAGATCATAGGTTGGACTCCTGATGCATAGTGGCCTTAGCCCCTTCGAATCTCCGGTAGCTCATGAGTGGTAAAGCAACTAGACTAGTAACCAGAAGATCATAGGTTGGACTCCTGATGCATAGTGGCCTTAGCCCCTTCGAATCTCCGGTAGCTCATGAGTGGTAAAGCAACTAGACTAGTAACCAGAAGATCATAGGTTGGACTCCTGACGTACAGTGGCCTTAGCTCCTTCGAGTCTGGGGTAGCTCATGAGTGGTAAAGCAACTAGACTAGTAACCAGAAGGTCGTAGGTTGGACTCCTGATGTACAGTGGTCTTTGTCACCTTGTATTTCCTTGTTTTTAGGCCGCTTTATAGCATCCTTTTTTGTGTGTGTAACAAAGCCACCTTCGCACAGGCGCGAAGGTGGCTTAAAATCAAAAAGGCACAATTCTCCTCAGATTTGCACTCAACTGCTAGACTAGAGTGTTGGGAAAGGTTTTTGAAAAGAAATCTTAGACTCCATAATATTTTTTCTCAAAGTGAACGAGTGAAGTGTAGATGTAAAAGATTTAGATACTTGTCTATATCAGAAGACGTGTGAGTAAAACCAGGCCCGTAGCAGGGGGAGGGGCAGGGGGGGCTCGAGCCCCCCCAGAAATGTTCAGACTTGAATTAAATTTTGCTACAACAGTGGAATTTTTCTACTAAAATCGACAGCTGTCAGTGGAAGCTAAAGTTTCAAAGAATTGTCGATCATAGTAATATTATGTACTGTTGTTCTTCTGTGCAATTTGGAATTGTGTAAATGAACGAAATGATTTGGTAACCTTCTTGCAGTCCCTTGATAGCTCCCGCAGAAAACTATTAAGCGAAATTTCTACTCTGGGAAAGCTGCTACTCGTCATGCCAGCAACCAATGCCGTTAGTGAAAGATCGTTTTCAACTTTGAAGCGGGTGAAGACGTATTTGCGCTTAACAACGGGAGACTCTAGACTGAACCACCTCATGATGTTGCATGTTCACAAGGACAGAACAGATGCTCTGACCCTTGTAGATGTAGCTAATGACTTCGTTGGGGAGAAAGAAAACCGAAAGCAAATGATTGGCAAATTTTCTGCGAACGATATCCCAAACAAGTTCTCTATTTCCTCAAAGTCAACACAAACGGAAAATTAGAGACAAGAACAAAAGGCATTGTAGACAAATGTAGCTATGTGACATGTACCAAGAAGGATACTTTAACCGAGGGACAGGAGCGGGGGGGGAGTTAATGTGGGCCACTCGCTCAGCCCCCCCAGTCATTTTATGCTTGCTACGGGCCTGGTAAAACTTACGTTCAAGTATCCTTGACCATTGCTATATCCCCCGACAATTACGTCGTAGTTCATCATGTTGCTTGGTGCTGTCTCGGCGAATCCAAATCCGATCCAGCCAGTTGTCTTTACTCTTAAGTGAATGAAAATATTGTCGTTTTGATCGTCAAATCTCCAAAATACGAGAAATCGATCACTGTCAAAGGACAAGGGAAACATTGCTGCAAAGACAGATGGAAAAATAGAAGTAGCGTATTAGAGGATTATTTTGACAATGAAATCAGTATAGAGAAGAGGAAAGGTGTAGTATCATAATATCACCCAACTCCTAACATGAACAATGTTTTATGGCTCAACCCAACTTCTGAACTGGGTTCCACACTGTCATCAACAGAAATAAAGGAAAACAATATTTAAATGTCACGCATCGAATAACTTCATGAACTCACTTGGTGTCGGTTGGGCCGGTGGATTATTGGGCGTACCTGAAATTTTAAAAAAAAAGTTTTATTACACAGAATTTAATGCAATGCTTGGCATCGGCGGAACAAAACTAAAGTTTAAGCAATAAAATTGTCATACAGAGAAGAGATGATACTTGATAGGTGGAAAATATTAAAGGAAGATTTACGGTTGAACCTTTGTTGAGCGGTCATAATTCGCTAAAGTCGACTTGATTACCTCTCCTTCATAGGGTTTTGTCCCAGGTGAGATTTTTCTCCTAAGGTGTGTAGTACCGACACGTCAATAAAATCATCATCATCACCACCACCACCACCATTATAATCATCACCATCATGTACATCGTCATCAACATCATCATCATCATCATCAACATCAACATCATCATCGACATCATTAATATAATCACCATTATCGTTTTGGGTCAATTTTTCAGTGCAGTGTCCCAAATATTACTTGATTAAACAAATTTTGTTACTAAGGGCGCTTTCCATTTGTCAGAACAAGGAATCGATTATTGTCAAAGGATAAGAGAAACACTGCTGCAAAGACAGATTGAAAAATAGAATTAGCGCTTTAGAGGATTATTTTGACAATGAATTCAGTATAGAGAAGAGGAAGGTGTAGTATCATAATATCACCCTACTCCACTAATGTGACCAATGTTTCATGGCCCAACCCAACTTCCTAACTGGGTTCCACACTATCATCAACAGAAAAGGAAACTAATATTTTATATGTCTCGTAACGAATAACTTCATGAACTCACTTGGTGTCGTTCGGGCCGGTGGATTAGTGGGCGTACCTGAATTAAAAAAAAGTTTTATTACGTAGAATTTAACGCAATGCTTATGATCGGCGAAACAAAACTAAAGTTTAAGGAATAAAGTTATCATACAGAGAAGAGATGATACTCGATAGGCGGCGAATATTAAAGGGGGATTTACAGAAAAAAAACCTTTATGGAGCGGTCACAATTGCTAACGTCCACTTGATTACCTCTCCTTCGCAGCGTTTTGTCCCTGATGGGATTTTTCCCCTAAGCTGTGTAGTACCGACAAGTCAATAAAGATCATCACCATCATAACCACCACCACCACCATCACAATCATCATCATCATCATCAACATCATGGTGGTGGTGGTAAAAAAAATAAGCCTTTACTTAGGAAACTCACCTGTAGTAGTAGGAGCGGCAATAAGTATAATTTGCATAACTTAAATTCGCTACACAAAAATACAGTACCAAGAAATCGTGTCTGTTCGATCGCAACTAGTCTCTTTCATTCAGAAACAAAACGGTATGCAATGAAATACTGGTTTCTTATTGTTTGAATATGAATTTTTTATTGCACGACCCTTAGTACTCAATAAAAACGAAAATATTTTCAATGCTGGGTACTGGAAACTTTCTGAAATCGCAAAAACAATTTCCTTCAAAAAAAATCAATCTGTCCTAATCGCAAAATTTAAAGTAGTCCAGCAAAACACAAAAAATCGCCAATCCGCAAAAATTTCGTGCCACACGGTATATAAATATAACGAGCGAGATTAAAGAAATGTACAATAGTTATGTTATTCTTAATCGTTCTTGTAAGTGTGGTCCTGACGAATAGGCCAGGGCTAACTCTAAAGGTCATCATAATCTCTGTTATTATTATAACATTTGAAGACTTCACAGGAAATTGTTTTATTTTTAATATGACATGACAATGACTCACTTGCTACTGCGGTAGTAGCTGTCGTTGGCTCAATTATCATGGAAGGAGTGTTCGATGTAGCCAGTGGTGATGCAGTCATTGCGCCCATTGTTGTTGTAGTCATTTCGACCATGGTAGATGTGCCTACTTCTGTCAATGCTGATGTTGTCATTTCTTCCATTGCAGATGTGGTCATTTCCACCATTGTAGATGGACCCACTTCTATCACTGCTGATGTAGTCATGGCGGCCATTGTTGATGTGGTCATCGCAAGCAATGCTGGTGTACTCACTTCTGCCTCTGTTGTTGTAACCATGGCAGGCATTTCTGACGTTGTCATTGACGCTATTGTTGGGATGAGTGTCACAGGACCTTCCACTCCTTTTTCACCCGTGTGTCGACTAAACGTCCCACTGTCCGGATCCACATCAGCGGTCGAGTGGTAAGCCCAAACAATGTAAACTTGCACCCCTTGCTGAAATCCAGAATAAACATGACTCAGAGTAAACACTTTGAATCCATAATATGGGTCAGCAGGAATGATATTTTCTTCTTTCTCAGCCGTTCTGCGTGTTTCTTCGCATTGAAAGAAACAAAGAGGGATTTGTCATCTTTTTCGATTACTACCTTAACTGGTCATCGCAAGAACAAAATTCAGCATATTTCTGATTGGCTGGGCATGATTTGAAATAATTTTAAAAACCTGTCGAAAACCGGAAAGGTATCGACTCACTCTCGCTCTCTGCGGCAGGATAAGCTCAGTCGGTAGAGCGCTTGACTACAGAGCGGGAGGTCGCCGGGTCAATTCTCGGGGGGGGGGGGGACCAATACTCAGGGTCTTAAAATGATTGAGAAATGAAGGTGCTTCCTTTGCATGCACTGCAAGCGGCTAGACCTTTGCATGGCTTGGATGACCATGTACGTTAAATGGTGGTACTGCCCCAAGTTGGAGACGTAAAAATAGTGTCCCGAATTAGTACTTTCGTGCTAAATACATTGGTACTCAAAGTGCTTTATTTATCTATTTATTTATTTATTCATTTATATATTTATTTATCCGGGGGAGGGGGAAGGAGTGACGCCAAAGGGTATTGCCGAATAAAACGTTTGAATGTATCCACCCAGGATTTGGCACCTGTGTTTCAGGCGTTCTAGCCGTTGCTGCTTCTTACAAAGTAAATCTTACCTCAATAGCAATATCGTTTGAGTCACTTGTATTTCGCTTGCGGTAAAATTTTAACGTTGTTACACCGCTCTCTTCATTTGAGTTGATCAACACCCAATCTTGTTGAGAATCCTCCGGAGGTTGTTTAGTGCCATTGGTGAAATAATCCTAATTGGAGGCAAAAATATGCGGATTATGAGAGACCCTGTAAAGACAGACAGTAATTTAATAACGCGTTAGTTAAAGGGGGCTGCAACGTCTACAAAAAAACAGCACACTGAAAGCTATTGAACGAGATCCATAAGCGAAAAGTCCTAGCTAATTTACTGGTGGAGGCCTCGAACCCGTGGTCTAATTGCCAAACCCAAGAAGGTGCTGTTCACATTAGGTGCCCGAGTACCAGTACCTGGATACTGCCTAAAAATGGTCTCGGGACATGTAACGTCCCTCTATTTCCTGTGTGATGCTATTTTGAGAGGTGTGCGTAGCAGGAAGTTTTGGGTACCGGTATGCAAAGCAATGGATTGCCTCGGAACTAACAAAGAAAGTGTTCACAGAGAGAACCAGTACTCACTTAATGTCCGCACTGTAATTTTCAGGGAGTTATAATAACTCCTCTAGTGGGGCTAATTTAACTCCTTACAGTGGAGTTATTTTTCGTGGAGTTATTTTAACTCCAAAAAGGAGTTTAAAGAACTCTTTTTCAGGAGTAAAAGTGACCCCAGATATTGAGGAGTTAAAATAACCCCAAAAAAGGAGTTATCCTGTACCTAAAATTTTTACTCCACTTTCAGAGTTAAATTAACTCCAAAAAGAGTAAAAACAACCCCTGTAAGGAGTACAAGTAACCCCATTTCGGAGTAATTTTAACTCCAAGACTGGGAGTAAAAAGAACTCTTTTTCAGGAGTAAAAATGACCCCAAATTCGGAGTTAAATTAGGAGTTAAAATAACCCCCAAAAAGGGGTTATCCTGTACCTAAAATTTTTACTCCATTTTTGGAGTTATAATAACTCCCTAAAAATTACCGTGCGAGTACAAGGTTTGGTACTCGGATACCAGTACCGTTCTCGAATTCTTATACATGCAGTAGTGTATGTCTCTAAACATGGTGATAAATAGCCCATGAAGTAGCATGAGATATTGACCCGACAGATCAGTGGAGTTTAAAATTTTGAAAAAGGACTGAGTGTTTTCACATTTAGCAGAAGGAATGTAGTCTCATTAACGTGGAGGTCGCACTATGGGATTTCACTTGAGTAACCTTTTTTGTAGGTTTAAACGTACTGGTTTTTTTTGTTTGTTTTTTTTTGTTTGTTTTTTTTTTCTCAAAGTTTCCGGAATCGCCACAAAAAACAGGAAAACCTGTGTGATATTGAAGTATACTACAGTCTCGATCACGATATTGGGACATTGGCGTCGTGGTCCCAAAAGAGAACTGCGATACTTTATTTATTTTCTTTTTCTTTGAAAGGCTGAACTAACGAGCCGACCAAATGCCTAAAAACAAACCAAATTTTACATTTTCCTAAAAAACCAGCGGGTCTGCTTAACATATACTAAGCCATAAACCCTCGGTGGTGCGTCTAGGAAAAAGGCCGAAATGGTTGACAATGCAAGGTTTAACATATTTTATGCGTGATATGATATTTTTGGGCCCATAGTTTTTTTTAAAAGCACGAACACCTGTGTGTTATCCAGGCATAATACTCTCAAATTCGCGAGCGATTTTAATTATAGTCCGGAAATTCGTAAGCCAATGCATTCATAATCAGGGTCTTAACCGGCTGCATATTTCACGATGAGTTGGCGCAAACAATCGTAGTTCCCATGGTTACCTATAAACAGTTATGCTTTTGGGCATCGGGAGTTGAGTGATAACAATAATGCACGGAATTACTGGTTTCAGTTATTTTTTAGAGCTAGTGTATTGGAAAATGGAAATTTATAAGCACATTTATGATGTTCTTCGCATTATTAAAAACCAAGAGATATTAAAACTTCAGAGCAGCTATGTTTTATGAGCCGAAATATCATGCCCTACGGGAAGAAACCGTCACCTGTTCGGCTTATTAGATAGCCTCGTTGGCTATCTACCTTCTCAAAGCGCGCTCACTGAGAAACTGTGAAATATCCGTCTTGCTGTGGTAAAGCATTCAGTACTCATGTTAGTCATCTGTAACAGGATGGAAATCACTCCAGTGGAAGAAATTTTTGTACGACGTTCGTTGATTTCGTGTTTCGGGTTAATGAACCACGAAATAATGACTCTCACGCAGGTGAAAAAATAAAGTGGTATATATTATTAAGTTTGTTTCATTGTTTGCCTGATTGTGTAGTCGTTTTTGCGTTCTCATATTTTGGAACTATTTGTTGTATATCTTCATGTTCAATTGTAGTGTAAATATATGCCTTTCATAAACTCGATACTGTTGTGATAAGTGTTGAGTTAATTGGAGGGGGAGCCTCAGTGAGAGAGTATGTAAAACTTTCAGTGGAGAAGAAGCTGAAATGTGATGAAGACCTCGCTACCTCTTCTCTGAGCAAGCAAGTTGCTCAGCTAGTCACTCCCATTTCACAAAAATATGTCTCTTTAGTTTGAGTATTGGTGCGTTATTGACTGAGAGCCGGGTTACCGCAAATAGTAGTAAAGAAACTTTCCGTGCACCGACGGGCCGTGAGCTCAGTTTTGAATAATTTATGATATGAACTGTAAAAATGGTTATCGTGAGTTGCAGATCGAACGGTAAAGTACAAGTTCCTCAAAAAATATTCTCTGTGGTTAGCACCACCGCGAGAAGTTGATGAACACATTTCCTTCATGACAGGCAATTTCACTTTAAAACTGAAAAAAAGTAATCATGAAAAGTATGTTTTTTTTTTCCGCGATAAAGGCGACTTTTCAAGGTTTTCAATTCATTTAGAAAGATAGCTTATAAGCAACACGTTGAAAAAGAAATGTAAATTTGGGCAGTTTTCTCCAAATGGCCAAAAACTCTGAAAAAAACCTGAATATTAGTCTCTCGGTTCACTCACTTTTCAAAAGTCGCCACATTTTAAATGCCGTCCATCATGGGAAAATCGACGGAAATCGTCAAAACTAAGACATTTTCACTTTGGCAAGTAGTTTAAAGAGAGCAAAATTCTTCACTTACCCGCAGATAACCAGTTCCATTACTCAACACCCCTCCTACGGCAACATCATAGCCTACCATTTTGGTTGGGCCTGCAGTTAAAGAAAAGCCAAACCCGACCCATCCTGTGGCGCTTGCTTCCACTAAAAATTCTAAAGTATCTGCTGATTCATTGAAATTGTAAGAAACATTGTAGGCTCCATTGTTTATGATGATAGTGTCAGAAAACATATAACTGCTTGTTGTACAAACAACAAATAACGACAATAGGCAAACTTGTAAAACGGCCATTGCAACTTCACGCCGTCGCTTGTTAACAGAATGACCATGTACTTTAAGGATACACCTAACATTTATTCCGTGTTTTTTTCCTTTCTCTTTGTTTCAAAATCATCACGCAAGACCAATATTCTTTTGTTTCCATTTTTCCTCAAATAACAGAATAATCTGAATCTAATGCAGGTGGTATCAGGAATGTATTTACGTATTTTATGTAAATAATTATCACATAATAACATAAGAATTGTCCGCAAAATCTTTAGCTCACAGTTAAGAATTAAGTATACTGTAGTGGTAAATAACTTCTTAATGAACAATTTTACGTGCACTTTGCAACCTGTAAATCGAAACTTTCCGGGTAGATATTCCCCGATATAGTTACATTTTTCTCCAACCTTAAATAGGGTATCGTTTTTTACCTTGTTGGCTTTGTGTCTTTGGTTTGATCCTTAGATAGTGTAACTCAAGTAATAATGGATGGTTTGGTTTGTTATCCTTTCCATTTTGTGGAAAAAAATAATTCTGAACACGCTCGGAAGAATTGCAAGGTCTTACGAGTTGTACACAGGGAAGGAGAATTTTTTACTATCCCCACGGTATTTGCTTTCGAGGGCTCCATAGAGAAAAATTGTTTTAAGATGGAGTGATACTCCTTTTGTTCCTATATGGGACCAAATCAAGAGAGAAGAACGGACCAAATAGCGAGCCAGCTCAGTGTATCAGCCCAAGTGAGTTTTATAAAAACGGTTACATACAAAGGTATTGGACGGCGACAGGTGCGGATCCAAACCGGTTTCCACCGTTTTACGAAAATCGGCCAGATTTTTTATAAATAAATATATTTTAATAAAAATTAAACTTTCCAAGCTGAAATCTGGCCAATATCCTGTCTGAATAACTCAGAAACCCAGAAAAGGGGACTTTGGGGAGTTAAAATCTACAAAATTTCCCAAGTCCCAAGGGAGAGTATGCCCCGGCCCCGACCCCCACCCCCGCTAGAAGCTTGCACCTTCGGCGCTCGTTTAGCAAATCGGTCAGTATCTATCCTAGATCCGCGCCTGGGCGACTATTGGATTTTGTGGTGGTTCGACAGTTTGCCACTGGTGACGTTTTCGTTTATTTGCAGTAAATTACATTTTGAATTTTTACAAGCCTCGTCTGATTAAGTTGGCCAAAATCTAGAAGCCACTATTACTTCTTTTAAGATTGCGCGTTAGACAAGGACGGTGTTGTGTCGACCTGTTATAAGATCTAAAAAGGAAAGCTTTTCTGGTGTCCTTATTTGAATGATGTAAGGATGGATGTTACGATTTGTGGAAATTAAATGCCTTTTAATAATGGCTGATTTGTGTCTAGTGTGTCTAGATTCTGTACTCTGACACCACTCTGACAACGCTCTGCCCAGCGGCACATCCCGTATTGGCCATATAAGGGAGTACGCCCCCCAGGTAACCATTGCATGCAAACCATCTAGTATAACAGCAAGGTTTAAGAATACAGAATTTCGTACGTCAGATAACTAATCAACATTAATTTTTAAAAAAATGTTTAGGACCGTGAATAAAGTTATTTACATAAATGTATTGAATAAGCGGAGATATAAATTATAAAAGTAATTGTGTAAGTTACGTGCTTGCAGACGTCATCGTCTTTGTTTACGAAGTACCATTCATATTTTGGCATTATATTAATGTTGACGAAGTAAGTTGAATCACTCTCAAAAAATTATTACAAAGTGCGATGGAATTATTACAATTTGCAACAACTTAGTTTATTGTAAAGTGCGATGGACAGTTATTACAAATTGCGACAGCTTTTTTATTACAAAGTGCGATGGATTTATTACAAATTGCGACAGGTATTACAAAGTGCGATGGTTATTGCAAATTGCGACAGGACATGTACAGGCACTCGCTCAGTATTTACGCGCGCTTTCGGGCAAAAAGAGAACTTCAATACATATTTTTCGGCAAAAAGGCGATCATTATTACATCCAAACACGGCACAACGATATTTTTTTCCCATTACAATCTTTTTCTAGGAAAATTTAAAGAAAAATTGGCCCGAAAAGCGCGAGTAAATACTGATGCAAGTATATAGGATCGTGCTTATGCCCTCCCCCCACCCCCTCCCCCAGGCATCCCATAATGCTCCTTAAATCCAATTAATTCAACATGGCCGCTGTATCGGTAAAAAGGTCTATTTGGGACCTAGACTAGCAAAGAACATGCCCAAGTGAAAAGAGAACAAACGAAAAAAGCCGGCGAAAAGGCAGATGAAAAGCCTTACAACTGAAACTACCTGATCAGTTAAGCATGAAAAGAGAAGGGAATTACAAGTCATGATCAGCCTACCTCCGAAGAAAGGCCCATTATACTTTACATTCAGTGAAATAAAAATCTCTCCAAAAGAGGAGATATAGAGGATATTACATGGCCGCCCGGAAATACGAAATTTCTCTTTGAGTGTTAAAAAATAATAAAATACCAAACCATTTCACTGAAACAGTTTTTTCCTGCGAAAGGCGCGATTTATTATTTAGCCATAGCAACGGTGATATTTTCACATGTGAAAATAACATGTTAATTTCACGTGTGAAGATATCGACACGTTTTCGCGCGAAAGCTCACCTGGTATTTCATTGGTGTTTATATAATAAGGAAGTTAATTCACTACTTTTAATGATTAAGGTCAAAATAAGAGCTAGACCGTTGCATCGATAAGAGAAAAAAATGAATTTGAAATTTGGTATGCATCAGGTCAAGTTTACCTTAATGGTTCAAGTTTATTTCCATTACCAGGGAATGGTAAGGACTATGAAAAGGAGTTTTTACAAGTCAAGTGTATCATTCTGATCATTTGCAGCATAGCTGCAGAGCCAACATACCAAATATTACTGATCATTTCATTCCTTCTGAGCTTTGAAAGTTAATTTAAATCTTGCGAGCATAGAAGCTGAAGACTTAAGCATAACTTTATAAGCTTTGAAAGTGAGAAAGGTGGATTAATTTTGATGATGACAATAATGGTGATCATGATGATAATGAGAATAAAAACAATCTGTGAGGTTATTAATAAAAGCAGGATAAAAGTAAAGGTGATAATGATTATGTCGATAGAGCTGGTTATTGCACAAAGTAAAAGACAGCTTAGTACAGTTGTAATAAAAACGTCCTTCATTGAACTAGAAAATAAGGAACTTCCGACTTATGTAGTGGTTTATCAACAAGACGCCTAAAGTCGTTTCCGTGGGATGCGTTGGTCCATGGAAGCATAATGGCGTTCTATCTGAATTTGGAAAAATTAGGGAAACCGGAAAGATGTGTCATGTTATGATCATGAGCATCGATGAGTAGGTTACCTGTATGGGTTGGTTTAATGTGCTTATGACTGAATTTATAGTAGCCTGCGTGGCAGGCTACATTTCTCCCCAACCACATCCCCTTTTGGCTTCCTCCCTATCCCCCACCCCTTTCGACACCTGCTACGCAAGCTAAATTTATAGTTGCCAGTGGTCGCAAGGATGGAGTTGATCTTGTTTTGATCTATCGTTATGTAGTTATTTTCGTAGCACGATTTGGATAAGAAAAAGAAGTTATTTTGCATCAAAACAAGATTTAGCCGTGTAACTTAAATTGGAATGTTAACGGAAACAAGTAATGGAGAACATGCGCATAATGCTCTCTGATTAACCTGAACAGGAACTATATGTATAAAGATAGGTCATATCTTGGTAGAAAGTTGCTACAGGTAACTTTTTCAAAGAGAAATAAACATTGTAGTTTTAGGTTGATGGAACAAAACAAAACAAAACATCCGCTTGGTTTATCCAGGGTCCAACCGAGGGTTACAAAGTTCGATAAAGGTCCAATGTTTTAATCCAAGATGAAAGTTTAATATTCCAAGATGCTCTTGATACGGTTAAAAATTAATTGCAATGTGTTTCCAAGGTCTCAAAGTTAACATAGTTCCAATGATTATCCCTGATCCCAAGGTATAATAAGTTTACTAAGGTCCTGATCCGTGTCCCATCCAGAAGTCCAATCCATGCCAAAGGCGAGTCGTCAATCGACGAGGACAATATTTTCGCGATTTCACCGTCAATCGTCAAGGGTACGAGTTGAAATTTACGCCATTTAACCTCCCATCGTCAAGGTGTTTTCGATAAAAAAAGAAAAAAACTGAACTCTAGCTGTGCTCGGCAAAAACTGGCGAACTCCGAATAGAAAAATCTATCGGAAATCATGGCCCGCGACCAGACGCTACTAAAACCTTATGAAAAAGCTAGACCTAAACAAAAAAGAATCATGAAGGGAAGAAATAATTTGGCTTAGGTCGCCTTTCGTGACTTGCCAGTATCTCGAAGGATTTCGCTGGTTAACAAGCCATCCTAAACCACGAGTGGGAAAACTCAAGGGCGACAAATTTGGCAAGGAACGTTCTGATTTCGACTTTCTTCAGAGGAAGCAAATCCATTAAAAATCGATACAGATTTTGTACAATCTGATTGGTCGGCTCGGAAGAAGAGATAATCGGTAAAGATTTTAGGCAATCCTATTGGCTGGCTTTGCAATTTTGGGTACAAACGAACCGGATTTTTACCGTGGGAGTGCCACAGGCATCCCACGGAATAATGTTACAATCACTCAATCTCAATGGCATCTAAAAAAATGGGCATCCCCCTTCCTGCCTTCAGAAAGTTTTAACCAATTTTTGAACCTTTCGCCTTAAAACAATAAAAATTACCGAAAATTCAAGAAAACAGCGAATTCGTATTTTGAATTTTGGACGCGTTTACACATTGCATTTGAGTATTTCCCAATGCCCTGGTAAACGAAAAAGTTGTCGAATTCGGTAACACAGTAGAAAATTTTTATTACAGACTTGCAAATTTCACTTACTATCGCTTCGAATTTTAATTTCGTTGCACAGTCACGATAACTTTAACAGGCGCCGGGAAATTTACCGTTCCATAAAAACTCGCACCTTGTGCCCTTAGTCAAGTATTAAAG